AAGGAAGAGTTCACATGAGAAAAATGCAGTCTGCTAAGACCAAGAACTGTTGAGTAAAGATTTCTATTTTTTGTTTAAGCAATTATTGCTAGTGGCCATTTCTTGAATAACTTTCGATAGAAGTAAGGAGGAAACCTGTGCTTTTAGCAACTCCAAAGCCAGAATTTGAGCGCGTCTCTTTATAAGAGAACAAGCTCAAAATCTTTTTCAAAGATGAACTTCCAGGAGATCTTTGGACAACTGGTCATGTATGAAAAAATTTAAATGCAAATACATTGATTCGTTTCATGAGTAGTGTACTGTTCAAAATAGCAATTCAGTAGGACTTTTGTTTCCAGTACAGGCATGATCGGATGTTAAAAAAGTAAAAGAAAGGATTTGTACTTCACAGGTTTTCTAGAACACTTTGTAAGACTCAAGACGTTTCGTCTGTAGTCACGGTCCTTCTAGATTCGTCTACATAGGAGTTTCCGAAGAGGAAAACTAGTCATACAAAGGTCCATCGTTGTTGACATTTGACTGACTGTTATCTTTTCTATGCCGATACACTACCATGTTCTTGCGCAAATCTCTCTATCCCATATGAAATTGTTAATCAGTTTTTCTCCGGAATTGCCCTGAGTATGCACATCAGAAGAGAAGTAGCACCATAGATGTTATCAGTATTCAAAAATGATTTTTCAGCATCATTCTTTGTATATGCACAAGATTTCACTGTCATCGAGGAAGTCATTTAGTAGGTAATCGACTATTACTAATAGTCTATATTTTTCTACCTTGAAAACAAGTTTTACTCGCTCATTATCTCGTGTGAAGAAGCAAACAAGAAAAGAAAGAAAGAAAGAAAATATAAAGCCGGGACGCTACCGGGAGCCATTTATTTTTCTTTTCGAAAAGAAAACGTAGAACTGATAATCATAACTGATTTGATTTAAAATTTTTGTTGCATATTAGAAAAAGACACACAACAAAAAACAATCACTATTATTGCAAGTTTAACTGTAAGTCTTTTTTTAATAAATTCTATCAAAAAAAGATTAATTCATATTAAAAAGAAATGAACGTTTGACAAATTAGCTGCACTTCAAAATGACGAAAAAAGGTTTACCCGATTTTTGCATTTTTTTATAACCAACAAAGCTCGACAATATCTGACGTGTCAAAAAAAAAGCTTACAAAGTCCGTATACCATGACATGTGTTAAACAAGGACTGGAATATTGGTAAACAAAATATTCTTTCAAGACAAACGTTTAACTGATTTTACTTTGTTTTCGCTTATTTAATAGTTTGAAGATCGTTCAAAGATCTTTTCTATATAAAGTTCACGTTTGAAAAACTGTGCCTATTTTCTGTCGAACCATGTTATTTTCAGTTTTTGAACAGTTTCAAATTGATAAATAAATGAAAACAAAGAAAAATCGGCTAAACGGTTGTCTTAAAAGAATATTTTGTTTACCAAAATTCCAGTTCTTGTTTAATACATATCATGTTATGCGGACCTTGTATGCGTTTTATTTGACACGACGGATATTGTTGAGAGTCTTTGTTTACAAAGAAACAATATATCGGTAAACTTTTGTTCGTTGCGCCACTTTATGCCAATCACTTCTGACAACACTTTTTTATCGATAAAAAATTAAAATGGTAGTGTCAAAAAAGATAATTACCGAATATTTCGTATTTTTTACATTTCAGTTTTTTCCAAAATTTGTACAAAAAGTATTAATCATTTTTATATGTAGACATCACACCCGGTAGTCTGGTGGCGGCAAATGGTTGATTTATTTTTTCTTCAACTGCGACGGTGAGGAATCTTGCAAAGGAGCGACTGAAGTTCAAACTTCTCTAGTTTTTCGAAAAATAAAGTTTATGTTAAAAGTTTCTCCGATAAGAAAGCTTGCCTATATTTTCTGCGACTATTTTTCGCTCTTCTCTGATATATGGATAAAAAAAAGTCAGAAAATATCAATTTTTTTTCTATATGCACTGAAGAGAAGTATAGACTAGCATCAAAGTGGTTCTCCGTGAGGCAGCTACTTTTTTCGGTTCTAAAGCAAACAAAAGTATGGATAAAAACTTATCATTAACGATAAAAATGTAATTAAAAAAATAGATCGGAGAAAATTTAAGCGATAAAAGAATTGCTTAGAGGTCATTATTCTTTCTCCCTTCTTTTTCTCTTATTTCACACAAGAGGAAGAAAGGAAAACGTGGTTAACACGTTTTTTTTCGTTTTTATTGCACGCTGCACAGTACAATTTATCTACAGCTGGGTTATTTGTTTTTCTCTGACGAACGAAATGAACACGAGACTGTATGAATGAAAGAGCATTTTAACAGTGTCTCTGACGACACAGTAATTGAAAAAGTCTTGTAAAGCATATCTAACTTAAAAGTGTGCTTACCTACTTTTCTCATTAATTTTTAATTTACATATTTTGTTGTCTCAAACAAAAAAGCAACAAATTCCAATTCTGACTGTATACATCACAAATCAAATTTGTGGCCAACCGCAGGGCTGGGCAACTCCACTGACTTTCAACTCCAACTCCACTCCAACTAAACTCAGTTTTCAAATTTCCAACTCCAATTCCGCTCAAAATTTTTCAACTCCAACTCCAACTCTCTCAACAAAAATCTGAACTCCAGTCCAACTTAGGTGGCTTCACTTTTGTAAGGACGATTTTTCGGTTTTTAGCAGGACTCTGGACGTTTTTGAGCTTTTTCCGGTCGGAAAGCGCAAAGAACTTCCGAATCCACTTGTGAATACAGCCACTCAATCGTTTAGAAGGTTAATTTACAACTATTGAATATTTCTGTAGTTAGGGGTTCCATAGGGGAGGTTTCACCCCTCTCCTCGCCCGTTCGAGCGGTCCTGGGTAGTAGGGAAAAGTTCATTTCAAAGTGGCTGAACTACTCAATAAGAGATAAAAATTCTAGCTTTTGTTGTAACAAAGTAGTGATACTGGTGTCCCTATATCTTAAAAACCAGGCAGTACTAATCTTTGAAAAGTAGCTCGATGCGGGGTCCAACGTTGTCTCTTTCAGATGGGCCTAAATGCACACATGGATACTCTCTAACTAATTTTTATTTAACCCGTTTAGTTGAGCGGTTTTGCATTAATCTCTTGAAGTCCATCCGCTATTAGAAGTTCGTTTTTTCCGATTTTTTTCGCAGACATAATATAAGACCATGGTCTTCTATTTAGCTTTCAAGTCAAATAATCGGCAGCGGTCTTCTGTTATGGTGGGGGGATAGTAAGTTAACCGCCGAATCATGAACGAGGTTACTGACCAATAATAAGGTTTCATCAAACAACGAAGGTGGCGTCAGTTCAGTGGAAAAGAAACAAACATCTGATTCCCTACTCATTTCTCCGCATGAGCTTAGAAATCCTACATTAGAACGCGTATTCAAGGTGTAAGGCTATAGCAATCGCAACTTTTCATAGTACTGAAATCGGGAAGCGGCACAATTAAAGTGGAAATGTGTAAATCTCAGTGCCTGTTAAAGATTTGTAATGTGAATGCTCTCAAATTCAACTATGAACAATTTGTAATACAGATGTAGTCATTCTGTTCGTTAGAGAAAAACAAATACTCCTCAGCTACAGACTAAATTGAATTGTGCAGCTGTTAATAAAAAACGAAAAAGGTCAATCCGCATAAGACTTGAAATCGGTCCACTACATTTTATTGCTTCAATGTATCCAGAACTCATCAAAGTTATCTTATTCAATGATTTCGACCCTTAAGGGTCGAAATCATTGAATAAGATAACTTTGATGAGTTCTGGATACATTGAAGCAATAAAATGTAGTGGACCGATTTCAAGTCTTATGCGGGCTGGTCCTTGGTAAGAAAAAGTAGCTGCCTCACGGAGAACCACTTTGATGCTAGTCTATACTTCTTTTCAGTGCATACAGAAAAAAATTTGGTATTTTCTGACTCTTTTTTATCCATATATCAGAGAAGAGCGGGAGAATAGTCGCAGAAAATATAGGCAAGTTTTCGTATCGGAGTAACTTTTAACATAAACTTTATTTCTGAAAAACCAGAAAATTTTGAAGTTCGGTAGCATGAAAGAAAAGAATTAAGATCATGAGACTACGTTAGGAGTTGCTTACCATCTCGAACAACGTTTTGGGCAAATACGAGAAAATATTTTTCGGAAAAGCTGTGCGCCACCGTAGTTCCAGGAGAGAAAAATCGCATTTTGAACTGCTTCTTAATTATTTGTAAATCGAATATAGAACTGCTATGAATAACATGACTTTCAATCTTGAAAATACTTTATTCGAGCTTTCGCCAGCTTTCAGTTGGCATCATCAGGAATGTAATAGACATTCGAACAAACGATGGTATAAAAAGAAGTGAATAGATAAGAAGGATAGAACAGAAAAAGAAGAAAAATAACTCAAGGAGAACTTGTAGTTGGCATAGCTGCACGTTTCTTTCTTTAAATTCATCAGTTCGTACATATTCGTCTATATTCGTTTAAAAAATACTTATTTCCAACTGCTCTGCCAATGCTTCTTAATTCTTGCAGCTTTTGAGGATACCTAAACTGATATGGGCTTTCAATTCGATTACCTCAATGAGAAAGCTACAGAGGCAAAAGTTTGCTTGTTTCTAGTAGAACTAACAGGGAAAAAATTGAGAAAGTTGAATGGGGGCGGGTCAAGTATAAATAGCAACAAGGGATGCATCTTTTTACTGTTCTATGTGATGCAAAGATGAAACGGCGATTTTTTTCTCAATGATATGCATATATCATCGATAAAAATATACGGAAAAGTTTGGTCGATATCATTGAGTAAAAAAGGACATAATGTACTGGAGAATCAGTCTTACTGAATCAGCAACCAGTTGCAACACCTACTCTGATGAACAAAACTCCATTCACGTTTGTTCATGAGAAAAAGGGATAGTTCTACAGGGGAATGGAATACAGAATTATTTCACAGATATTATCTATTTTGCTTTTTGTAGCGAGTTATGACACAAGGATCAGCAAAGTGTATTGGTCGTGTATTAGAAGAAATTCAAGGAAATCCTCCAGAACACATTACCAACATTAAACTTGTTGATCAATCGAACTTTCGTGTTTGGGAAGCAATCGTTGAAGGTCCAACAGATACTCCGTATGAAGGTGGTAGATTCAAAATTTTGATAGAATTTCCTGCCGAATTTCCCTTTAAACCACCCATTGTTTCTTTTAATCCGCCAGTGTATCATCCGAATGTTCATCAGCAGAGTGTTGATAGTCATAAGGAAGGTAGTGTTAGTTTAACAACGCAAGAAGCACAACAATGGTCACCCGGAGCAGCTGTAGGCTCATTTCTACCAGCGGTATATTCCCTCTTGATGGCGCCAAATCCAGATGACAATCCAGCATTTCCAGAAGCCGCTGCTCTTTTTTTAAACAATAGAGAAGAATTTGACAGAAGAGCCAGACAGTGGACAAGAGAGCATGCTCAATAAATAATATGCAATTTACGGCAAAAACATGTACATTTAAGTGAAGTTTTACTTCGTGCATGTGCAAATTGTTTGCTTTCAAAATAAAAAGAGTACATAAATGGTCCTTTCAAGATGCTCCGAAATACAGTTGTGTCCGAGTGTCTATTAGAAGCATTTATTCGCATTGCATAACCTGATCGAAACTAATCGAGAAAAACTTTCTACTATCCAATTTAAAATATAGTGTTGGTGATTCTGATATGAATAACTCGAGAACGGAATGAGCTATTGAAATCGGATTTTCGCCATTGTGTAGCCAAAACCGGAACACGTAATAATATGCACAAACCAAAATTTTTGTATAGGTCTCTGGAGGATTTCTAAGTGAATCTTTGGAAAACTAAGCTGTGTGTAAACCCTTTTGAATAAAATTGTATTGATTTTCTTCCATAGGCTGGACAGCCCGTTTCCAAGAGTTATGCCTCGAACGGGAAATAACTCATGTTCAGGAAAGATGTATTTCCCGATTGTGAAATATGTCCTGATCGGGAAAATGAAATCTATCCGATTCGGGAAATATTTCGACATGTCTACTTTGAAACCCTTCAGTGCATTTCATAACGTTTCCGCGCATGTTCTGGTTGGTTCCATTGGATTGAGCACGAAATACTGAATTGATTGTCGCGGTGCCAGGTGAATTTGACGCGCTTCTAGCAGATCCGATATTATAGAAATGTTGAATAGGCGTAGGATCAAAATCTTTCCCGATGGGTAAAGACATTTTTGCCATATGTTAGTGTAAAGGAAAAGAAAGATGGAAGAAAGAAAAAGAAAGGACTAAGAAAAAGGAAGGATGCAGAATTATTATAAACATGTGTCATCGAGTTCTAGAAGCGTAAGAAAGATCTGCTGACTAGCCTTCAAGTGAGTAATATATTGAATATAACTAGATCCAGTGTGTATACTTTTCAAAATGAAAAATAAAATAAAGTTTCTCAAGGTCGAAGCTTTTCTTTCTAAATCATTGACAAGGTATGACTTTGAAATCAAATAAGGCTTCATGCGATAATACTGAGCCTGTTATTTGGCATGACACTACTACCTATGATTTGGTTAAGTTGGGACAAAAACATATACCGAAAGCGATAATAGACAATGCACGACGTCGAAATTTGTTACCGAAACATGCTAGATATTTATGTAGTCTTTGTATTGCCAAAATCAGAGACAAGATTAATCATAATGGAGAACGACCTAAAAAACGTCTACGACTATTGTCTGATCAAAAATTGATCGAAGATCAACAGCATCCTCCACAAAAATAAAGCAGTCTGAGATATTGCGTGGATATTATTTGTAATGCTCTCCAAAACGATTTGCTTGACGAAGAAAATGAATTAAGACTGTATACAGTAATTGGAGATGCTATTAAGGGGGGAGGGGCATCCTCCAAAAAGCTGCTCTCAATCTATGTCAGTTTGAAGAGGACACCTGATTACATATATCTCTCAGTTTTTTCGATGAACTGATAACTATTCACAGAGTTATTAATTAATTAAGTTTAAATTTTAATTAAACTTTCGATATCGCAGTCATTGAAGCTCAGTTCAAAATTAATGTTAATAAAACTCTATCGAAAGCATTTCTCAATATACCATCTGTTGTCGATCACAGAAATCAAACATTATTGTTGCGGAGTAAAAAACTATAAATCCATCGTCCGCTGATGTAGTGGAGACAATTCTATGTGATTTGAAAGAAGGGCTTCTTCAGTCAAATTCTATTATCCATTTCAACAAAGAAGGACCTTGGCCATTTGTTTGATAACTTTTTACTCGCTACCACGCTAACTCGGTCCGAACACGTCGGAAGATCTCAGAAAGACTTGAAACATAGGTTACCGAATGTGCTGATCAACGTGACAATGTTTGTTTCTGACTAAAAGTTGATCCAAGGTCACCAGGGTATTTTTAATGAAAAAACGGATTTTTGCATGAAGCCTGTCAAAACTAGAGTTGCCTTATAGCATCCATTTTAAGTCAGAAACACACCAAATTTTCGGTAGATATATGAAAAATGACCATAAATCAGATAGCGCTTGTAAAACTGCAAAATTGTGGGTTTTCCAGGCTAAGGTTTTATAGGAGGTTTCCAGAAACTCTCTGACGTTTAAACCCGCTGAATCTCATATTTGAGAACTTGTTCAGCATCAATACACTATTCTACGTGTTTCCTAAAAATTTAGTGTGTTTCTGACTTAAAATGGCTGATATACGGCAACTCTAGTTTTGACAGGCTTCACGCAAAAATCCGTTTTTTCATTAAAAATATCCTGGTGACCTTGGATCAACTTCTAGTCAAAAACAAACATTGTCACGTTGATCAGCACATTCGGTAACCTATGTTTCAAGTCTTTCCGAGATCCTCCGACGTGTCCGGACCGAGTTAGCGTGGACTCCGGAGAACCTTTCTAGCTCCGGAACCTTGTAAGCTAACGACCTGGGACTGCTCTAGAAACGAATATCTCAGTCCGGGCTACCTGCCTGTCGTTTCTTATTGCCCGAACATTTTTCTTTCGACTAGTGAAAACCGCAGCTCCGTAGCTACGTAGAAAAAGTTATAACAAATGGCCATGGTCTTTCTCTTTTGAAATGGATAATAATTACGTAAATGGATGTCTGTTGTAGTCGATGGCATTCCTTCTAGTATTGCCTGGAAATTAGTCAATTCTAACTTTTTTTGTGATCTCTGTGATCATCCATGTGAATCTTTCAGTGCTCTGAAAGAACATTATAACAACAGTCACAAATCATCAAAATTTTCTTCTAACAAATTTCAGTATATGTCACTCAAAGATTTACTCCTTTGGCCAGGTCTCAGACATATAGAAATGAACGTCTGAAGAAATGAACGGGATATAGACACCTATTTTCTGTAAGGTTGAAGAAGAAAGAGAAAAGAGAAAAATAGAGGCATCCGAGAAATGATGCCGTCGGTTAAGAAAAATTTCCCACTTCAGATCCACTTTCCTCCAGTTTTGCAGGGAATTTTGCTCTGCATCATTAAGTAAATTTTAGATGAAATCATTTGAGGTGTAGGAGAAAGTATTAAGACCAGCACCGAACTTGAAAAGTGTGGAAAATTGAGGTCTAACTAAAAATTTGAAATGTAATGTTCACTTTTATCACGTTGGATAGAGTTCACAGAGCTCTAGAAAAATGTGAACTAATTTGGAATCTAAAATGTATGTTATGACAGAATTATGATATTCTCATCTCGAAGTTCCTACACTTTTCGAAAAATCGTCTTTGCAAAGAATAACCCATATCCATGACCCAATTGGTGTTAAAAAGAGTTTCAAGAAAACATTTCCTGGCGAAGAAAGCAACGAAACGGTAAAAAAAGTTTGATACTCGAGCATGTAGAACTGTAACTTTGATATCCGTGACTGGAAAAGTAGATATCTACACACAAAGCGATTGCGGTACAAAACTTACATACTTTATTCGACACGTTTAACATCATTTTGCGGCTCAGATCCAACCTGTCCATTTTTAAACAGTGTGAATGTGATCTGCTTTCAAAGTGAAGCTAACAAACAGCTTCCTCTAGCGAGGGAGGTCCACGAACTTGAAAATCGCTTTTGAGACGAAACCTACTGGGTGACAAGTAATCGACCATGCTGATTCCAAATATCGACATGAGACGAGCAGTTAGGCCTCCAAACACCCGTTCTCGGAGAAACTAGTTTTTCAGAAACTCTAAAACGTAACCAAAACCTTTCCATTGAGGTGTTATTAGTCGTGTTAAATGATCATCCATGTAAATCCTTCAGTGCTCTGAAAGAATATTATAATAGCACTCACAAATCATCAAAATTTTCTTCTAACAAATTTCAGTACATGTCACTCAAAGATTTACTCCTTCGGCCAGGTCTGGACATATGAAAATGAACGTTTGTCGCTCGAGTATGCTTTTTAGTTGGAACATATCTGGACATGACCTAGCTGATTGTCTACATTTCAAGACCGATAGAGCCAAGCATTATATGAAAAATTGCTCCGATCATCACAAAACCATTGAGGTGTTATTAGTCGTGCCTTACGGTAATACGCTCGAGTTGATTCATCAATGTTTGTCTACAACAAAAAGCAAAACGAAAAACTTTAATCTGTTTATGGAATGGTTATCTACATCTTCACCACCTATTCGATTTTTATGCACAAGTTACATTTATATTTATATATGAAATCTTTGCTCTACGAAATGCCGTGCGGAAAAACCATGTAGCTTTTCTTAGAGAAACAAAATCATTGGTTGATCTCGTGTTTTATTCAGCTAATCATCCCAAATACCAGTTTATTATGGAGCATGATTCTTTATTTCTTACTATTATGCCTAATACATTAAGAGCTTATTACGAGGTTACCGAAACATTTACAACAACCAGAAACTCAGAGCCATGCGAAGGCTTAGATTTTGTACTAGAAAATGTCCACAAAAGCCTTAAGAGTTTACTTCCAAATGGTGTTCCTACAGAGTAGATCTGGATGACAGTCAATCGAAATATAGATATCTACAAAAAGCTAACATTCTTTTGTCTTATTTGATAAAATCATGGATAAAAACTCACATATGAATATTACAATGATATGTAAGACAATCTAAAGCCTTTTCACGAATTTCGAATATTCTAACAGCGAACATGCATAGAATTTTTACATGAAGATATTCTGCATGTCAAAACTTCAACACCTTTTTTAAATAATTCTCCACAAATTATACAACATTTTTTGACTGTTATATCTAGTATAGAATACTGAGTACCGCGTGATTTCATATTGGGTTTGGCATCGAGAGCATTGGCAATATCATCGTTAAATTCTTTACATGGACCTTCCACAGTTATACCACTTGTATTGTTGAGTACAAGTGCAACCGTTTCTTTAGTAATAGAAATGTAGTCTGTTATCTGCAACAAATACAGCAACAATATTAAGTTCCTTTCTCTTACATACGTTTAGCAAAGACTTTCAACAACATTACGTTTTCTCATGTACACTCTTGCTCTTACTACGTCCAAGGCTCTGAGAAAAGTTAGTGTAACTCTCATATTGTATACTTAGATTCGCACAACAGCATTTAAAAATATGAGTATAAAACCACAATCGAACTGCACAGTACAATCACATGGAAGAAGAACGAAATATACATTTCTGACACGACCTAGATATGCTCACTATCGTGTTTAGAATGACTCATCAAAGTTAAAGATTTGATCATACTACAAAGAATGTCAATAATAAACATTTTCAACCAAGGACTTCTTTCATAAAGTCCACTGTGGAATGATGAGAGGCCTCAACAACTAACTCTACGGTTGAATTAATGAGCTCTAACTTTAGCCATTGGGCGGGATAATGTAACGACTTTCGATACGTGGCAGAACAAATTATTCAATTTCTTTTCTTTTCATCAGGTTTCGGTTGAAATGTTAGCATTCAGAAAGTCAAAACGAGCATTAAGAAGAGTACGGTGCATAGTATCACATCATTTTTCGATCACGAAATACATCTTTCCCAAACGGGAAATAATTGATCTTTCCCGAATAGGAAATATTCTGTCTTATTTCCCGACTGAGAAATAAAATAAGAGATTTTCCAGTAAAAAACTGTTTTAGCATCGCACGTAACCAATGATCAAAGAGGAGCGTCAGCTTTTCACATAGAGCAAAATGTAAATTAGCTAAGCAGCAGAATAAAAACTGTCCGCACACTAGACGACTTATGGTACATGAGATAACATCTTTTTGTCGATTAGAAAGGTGGAAACGGATTGGCCTGAGGCGTCCTCGTCAGCATGGGAGTCAAACGAGGCCTTGATTTTCCGCGGCTCGGGTGTCGGACTTCCTACGAGTCCCCGGGATGGCACGAGATGACTATTGGTAGCCCTGAAAATGGATAAACTCTAGATGGTCGATCATGCTGAGTCTCGTGGGGATGTTTGTTTTTAGAAAAAGTTAAAAGTCTTCGGAAAAGGGAGTTGTACGAAAATTTGGCTTTTCAGGCTCTTTGCACCTAATATTGAAACATTCACTATTCACTCAAAATGACATCAGAACGAATTCAAAACTTCAGAATGTGGAGTATTTAAGCTATTCTATATCCTGTTCAGAAGATCTCTAAAGAAATTTTACAAAATCCCGAGGTTTTCCAAAAGGGTTTCTGGAAATGAGGTTAAATACGATGTTTTCCATCTTATAATCACGTTTAGCGGAGAAAATTAACTGCTTTTAATTTACTTGAACTACTTTCATAAAATAGTTTAATTCCTCATTATATTTTGACATTTTGTATGAAATTCTAGCGAACTATCATACTCACCTTTATTAAAATAAACATTACCGGTATTACATAGATTGGCTGCTATATTACGAGTATTAGGATGACATTTCTCACTAATACTTACAAATCTATTTAAACAATCAATAGCATTATCATAATCGTCTTTTAGCCGATAAACAATACCCGGATAATGTAAGATCACTAAAATACGTAATGGTGTTTCACTCTTCTGTAGGATTTCATGGGCAAGATGATGTAGTGCAGGTGTTGCCCAAGGCCACTCTTTATCAACATGAATTTCCCCAAGATGAATATGATGATACCTATATCTTGGTTCCTAGGATTTTTTAAAAGATAGTTAAAATATGTTTTTGCTTTAACATAATAATCCGTTGCAATTAAAAAAAATTCCTAAATAATTACAGCATTCGTAGTTTCCATTTCTCTCTTGGGGTGGACTTAGGATTTACATACGCCTGCATCAGTATCAACATATTCACGCCTAGCAGGAGCATGATGTAGACCATTGATCCATGAATGAAAAACTTGAATTAAATAGTAAAACGCTTGAACTTCTCCTATACGTTTTCGTGTGAGTCCAATCGGACCCCTGAACAGCCATGATGAAGGATCGTATAAGTTGTTAGTCGAAGATGGTGGAAATAAACTAAGAAAATATATGACAACAGAACAGCAGAATCTATCGGTGTGTGCGGTCGAACATATATGAAAAATTTTCCAACGCAAAAAAGTGTAGAGTTTTCTACATTCGAAGTTTTAAGAAATCTCCAACGTGTAGACATCTTGGAAATATGCTTAGACTAATTTAGAGATTTCCTTGTTTCTTGATACAGGACTCGTTATGCACTAAGTCATTTTATCTACATATTTACCAACTAATTTCCCTTTCAGCATACGGTTCTGCTATATAAAAGAAATAGGTCTAGCAATAGTTTTCGGTCTTTTTACTGACATTTGTAGACACTTTCTAACTTTGTTCATTAAAATGATGACAACAAACAGACTCGTATCTCGCGAAACAGCCGCAGTCTATACATTTTATGTTTTGGAACATACAGGGCTGAATTCTTGACTTTTCAGGAAGATGCGCATTGAAGTGATACCTAATCACTTAAGTGACACTCCAGAACTTAAACACTTAAAGTGACACTTAACCCGAAGGTACACACACGTAAAGGCACTTAAAGTGAGGTTTTTCACTCTTGGTAGCAGTAGTACGCTATAAAGCATTAAATACTGCATTATTGTTCCACATTTTTACTTTATAAAACGTTTAATGAGTTTCTGTTCGTTACATAACGTTTTTGACCTATTTTCACACATTTCAACATTATTTGGTGTAAATATTTTTAACAGTGATGCCACGCCGCCGTGTCAATCTTTCGCTTTTTCTTCTCTTGTATCTCTCAACTGGTTAAGCAATTCTGTGTGTGTCTTGGGAATTATAACAGTATTCTAAACGTAAGTCTCCCTAATTAAGAAGGTCCGTAAGTAAGAAGTAACCCTAATCGACACTCACCAAGAAAGTCCTCCTAAAAATCTCTGCAGACTCCGTAACGGGATTCTCCGAGGATTTTAGGGCAGTTCCCTAAGAATCCCTGGGAACTCTCTGTAGGTCTGTTGGTCCATCATTTTTAATTTCATATAACTAATTAGTAATTAAGTGCCAGGTATCATCACTGGTACCAGAGTAGCACATATCAACCATCGAAGGTTGACACATTAATGTTGACTTACTAGAAGAAAATTCGTAATATTTTATCATGGAACTATATTATATTTATATATTGTCTATCTGCAAACGCCGAATGAGGAGTTGGCAGGGACTCCCCCGGGATTTCACATATTGGGGTCCCCCTGGGGAGTTTGAGGGTGACTTCCTACGGACTCCCCAGGGAGTACACATTTTTAGGAACTTCCCAGGGACTCTGAGGAGGAGAGTCGACTAGGGATGTCTCCTCCTCTTTCGTGAGTTCAGACTGTAAATTGTTCCAGTAAGTGATTGTTTTTTATTAGTAAAAAGGAGAAGAAGACTAAAAACAAGAGGTTACACACATTCTCACTCACACAGAACTGAATGACATTGAAGACTAACTGTAAAACGATAATCTTTTACGTAATATATTAGAAAAAGAAACGACGTAGCAGATATCAGTTTTCTATCAAGGGAGAGAAAAGTAAAAGATACAATAGTATCAAAACAAAACAATGCAATAGTAAAATGCTTGACTAGGTATAGAACGATACGATTCAGTATCTAATAATTTTATGCTAATAAAGACTAAACCAAACCAACTTATGAAAATATTGCATTTCTGTTTCAACATGTTTATTATTATATATTTTTGTAATATATATTAGTTGTAGATGATAGCGTTAACATCAGACTAACACACACACTGTTGACGAACCGGCCAGTTTCAATTATTAATAGAAGATAATATGTGCAATTATTCTTCGAACGAACAAAAGACTAAACGAAAACTTTTTCAATACATGGAAGTAAGTAAATCTTAAAAGCTCGCAGCTCAGAGTTAACTCTGAAGGACTAAAATGTAGAAATTACTAAAAGATTATATATGATGGAAAGATCTATTTCAGGTTTTCGAAAGAAGATAGTTCTCCTCATATTTTCGGTTAGGGAAGCCGTCAAAAATAACAGAATGCGTAGAACGTAGACGTAGACTATATTCTACGCGTGGAAAAATCTATGCGTAGAATATATTTGTCTACGCATTGATATAGATCATTATCATTCTCTCTCTTTTCTTTTTCTCTTATTTTTACAGAAAGAGAAAATGCGGTGGTCATACAGAACAGAAACATTTTCGTTTTCAGTTATAAATTACACAATCTAACACTATTATAAAGCTGAGCTATATTCTATACAAGATATGAAGATTTGCAAAATGATACACTAGAAATTCTCCTGCTTTTCTCACAAGTTAACTAATTAAAAAGGCACCCTTTCTCCATTTTTAATGAATCTGTTATCTGGTTCACAATATGATTGTTTGACAAAAAAACGCACTTTTTGCTTATCGAAGAGAATATTCACTTAAACAAACTAAATATTAGTAGTCAAGTTCTGGAAGAAGTTTGTTCAACTAAGATGGCTTTCCAGCTTTCTCTTCGGGCCGTGGTAGGCAAGCCTTTCAAATCAATCGTTGCTGGCTAGCAGAGATAAATGAAAATGCTAGCTCATCTGAGCAGAGTTCATGTGTCGTTATATGTGAAATGTTCTATTTAAATTTGGCGTTTTAAGCTCGATATTTTCTTTTCGTTCTTGCTGTTTCTTTCGCCTTACCAAATTCTGTTTTTTCTAACACCATAGTTCAACTTAGGACTTCAAACATGCCGCTTTACTTTTCTTCTGTCGATATTATTTTCTTATCTATGATAGCTGTAAAAGATATAAGAATGAAAAGAATAAATCTTCTGTTTTAGCCTGAATTTAGTTTTCTATCTTTTTCTCTCTCTCTCTGTGAATTTAATGTATAATCCGTTAACTTGATCAATTAATATCGCATTAAGTCGAGAGTACTTACTGGCCTTTTTTACCCTAACTTCGCGTACACAAGTTACACATTATGTTCAACTATTTTTCAGAAAAAGATCGCCTGAATTTGTGGAGATATTGGACCGTCAATATCACTGCTTAACACATAAAAAAAGTATTTTTTCTTTTACATTAAATTACATAATTCAATCACGAGAATCAATTTGTGATTTATACACAGACTTTCTATTTACAAATTAATTTAGTATATGGGTCTTAGTTCAACCTATACGTATCAGAGGATACAATCACGAGACAAATTGATTCTCGTGAGTTACAGAAAAGTCCTGTGAAGCCGTTCGAAGATTTCTCGAAAAAGCACTGTCTCTAGTATTTTGCAAATAACTCCATCAAACTTTGTTCATTCTGTTCGACCAATGTCTCATTCGAAAGAGCATATAAAACTGCATTGACCAAGCTACTTTTCATTTTTTAGAAGTGAAACTGAATTTTTATAATTCACATGAAGCGAAAGGTCATGATTTGAAAAATTAAATTCTTCGCATAAAACGTAATTATCTCTCGATCGTTAAGTTGTTGCATTTTAAACTTTATGACATCGTGTAGAGCTTTCAATTCTCTACAAAATTAGACGTGAAACTTTGTCCATAGAATTGGGTCTCATGCCAAAAAATTCGCTATAATCAGTTGTACTATCACTACCGCTACGATAGTTTTTCCAAAAAAATTATTTTTAATAAACGAAAACACACGTTTCATAGGAAATCGATAGTCCTGATCACAAAGCAAGCCAGGTAGGACCGATTTGTCACGTATCTACATGGAAATTGTTCATTTTTATTTTATTTTCCTTGACCAGTGTTTCAGAGGAATATCAGGGGTAGATATTTGTCTTTTACCAGACGACAGCGGTCGATTTCTCGATGGGAGAGACGGTGACGGTTGTGGCAGAGGCTGCCCTGTTCTCATAGCGTCTCGTATTCTGAATCTCTGTGCCACTTCAATCATTACTTGGTCGTCCTTGAATTCGTCATTATCTTCCTCGTCAATTTCTTGTACAGCTCCTAGGTTTCCTCCAGTGTTCTTGAGACGCGAGAAAAATGATCTGATCTGGCCGTTTTTCAAGAACTCAGCCGATGAAAATAGAAACTTTCCATCTGGCCGTTTTTTCTGCTGCATTTCAGCAGCCACCTCTTCTGGTTTCCAGCTGATTTTCTTTTTCAAACCCTGAGCGAAATTGTCGGTTAGATAACGAAAACGAGATTCAAACGAGTTTGAGTTCTTTCTTTGGATAAAGCCCATCCACGTGGTAGCCGTTGCGATGGATATCACAGAAGTATGAATATCTCAAGCAGTATGGATATCACAGGACGTTCCCCAATGTCTTTCACTTTGGAATGATATGTCTGCATCGCATAATCTCGCATTGAATGCCGTTCTGGTCGTCGCTGGCGCTTTCCATTCGCAATGTGATTGTTAGGTTTCCATTTCTGGCGAATGCTGCAGTGCATCCTTCTTCTGGACATTCATACAATTTGTTAGGAGACACATCTTCCGCAACTTCAGTTATGTCAGCGGTAGTAACCGAGGATATCGCCTTTGCGGATTTCTGTTTGGTTTCACTTTTTGCACCGTAAACCTAGGTGTGTGGTGTTGTATTGATAGTCCGAAAGACCAGCTCATCGAGTATATTGGAACGTTTCAAATTTTTCTGTGAAGAGATGTTATTAAAGTTGCTGTGTTTAGTTATTTCGAGCACAATCTCTAGTTGAACTTGAAACGAAGAGCATCATATTCCCGAAGAGAAAGCCGGGTAAAACATGGTGAAATTAACCTCAAAGTACATTCTTTTCACGAGAATTTTAGAGCGAGAATTTTCTTGCTCATGTAACTTCTAGATGTAATCATGAATAAAAGTGAAAACCTCCGTTGTAATTTAAGAAACTATTCAAAGATAAAGGTATGAGTTTACATTTCTACTGAAGATGTTTGTATAAAATACTCAGAACAAACAAAAATTATCTTATGAGGTACAGTATTTAATGTAAGCAAAAATGAGGAAAGTTTAGATTCTTACAGTTTACGAATAAGGCATCTGTGTTAAAACGACGCATAGTATTCGGTTCTTCATTGAAATTTCGAACAAGTTTTGTCTCAGGCGTCTCGAATTCAGATAGAACTTAAAATTTTATGTATACTATCAGATTTTCAGTATATGAATGAAGAGCATCTTTCCTCACTCAAGTCACAAAACAAAAAATTGCTTAATTTTCTTATATCGATAAAACTAGATGATAAAAGAAACACGCAGATATAGAATCAATGTGTCAATTAAGAATAGACTTTTTTCCATTGACTTAAAATTAAAATAAATCTAAAGGACGGGGTGCAATAAGAACGAGGATCGGCCCCATTTCAGATCTTCTCGAAAGGTATCTAGAATGAAAGAGCATACAATTTTATGGGGTTCTATACCCTTGGTTCCCCTTCGGACCTCATATGT